GCACCTGAAGATACGTCACAATAAGTGTTTATAGGATGTGCTCAAAATCTTATTTTGGGCCAAGTGTGGTGGCTCACACCTGTAATCCCAGCGCTTTGGGAGGCTGAGGCAGGTTGATCACCTGAGGTCAGGAGTTTGAGACCAGCCTGGCCAGCAGGGTGAAACCCAATCTCTACAAAAAATACAAAAATTAGCCGGGCATGGTGGTGGACACCTGTAATCGCAGCTACTCAGGAGGCTGAAGCAGGAGAATTGCTTGAACCCGGGAGGTGGAGGTTGCAGTGAGCTGAGATCGTTCCACTGCACTCCAGCCTGGGTGACACAGAGAGATTCCATCTCAAAAAAAAAAAAAAAAAAATCTTATTTTGGCAGAGGACAACTGTATTTTGGGGGCATCTTCTTTCACTCCTCCAACCAGATGGACAAATGTCTTCCATGTCTGGGAAGTGTCACTTGTCCCTTCCCAGTGCCTGGTGGCAGCCCCTCGCTTGCTCCAGGTTCCTGGATGGCGTGGAGCCCACTCTTTAGCTTCCCCTCATTCTCCTTTCTCCCCTCACTGTGTTATTTCCATTTACTAAGTGATTCGGTTCACGCTGATTCCCACTCAGTTACTGGAGTGGATGGTGGATTCAATGTGTCATCTCTCCCAACAGATTTGTACTTAAATTGCAGACTTGGAAAAAACTTGTGTTTTTCCATTTGTGTGTTTGTGTTTGAGATGGAGTCTTGCTCTGTCTCCCAGCCTGAAGTGCAATGGCTTGATAACAACTCACTGCAACCTCTGGTTCCCATGTTCAAGTGATTCTCCTGCCTCAGCCTCTGGAGTCGCTGGGATTACAGGTGTGTGCCATCATCCCTGGCTAATTTTTGTATTTTTAGTAGACACAGGGTTTGACCACGTTAGCCAGGCTGGCCTCCAAGTCCTGCCCTTGTGTGATCCACCTTCCTTGGCCTCCCAAAGTACTGGGATTACAGGCATGAGCCACCTTGTCTGGCCCATGTGTCTGTTTTTTTAGATGGAGTTGCTCTGTTGGCCAGACTAGAGTGCGGCGGCATGATCTTGGCTCACTGCTACCTCTGCCTCCTGGTTTCAAGTGATTCTCCTGCCTCAGCTTCCCTAGTGCCTGGGACTATAGGCGTGTACCACCATGCCTGGCTAGTTTTTGTATTTTTAGTAGAGATGGGGTTTTGCCATGTTGGCTGGGCTGGTCTTGAACTTCTGGCCTTAAGTGGTCTGCCCATCTGAGCCTCCCAAAGTGCTGGGATTATAGGTGTGAGCCACAGCACCCTGCCAAAAACTTGTTTCTTAACGAAACCTATGAGAATGGTGACATTTAAGCACCAGAGTCATTTTGGATACTGGAGAGGAGAGGGCAGGGTTAGTGCTGGGGCAAGAGGGATGAGGAAGTCCCAGTTGTCTTCAGGGAGGTCACAGGAAGTAGAAGCAGCAACTGCCCCTTCACACAGAGGAGGTGTAGGGGGCCGAGGAAGGTGGCTGTGGGCAGGGGGAGGCACAGAAGCTTCTGGGAGGACCTCACCTGGGGAGTCTCAAAGGCAGCCAAGGGAAGGACGTGTGAAACAGTCTCCGTGTGACCGTGCAGTGGGAGGGAAAAGGGACTTCTCTGGCTGGCTGGGTGACCATGGAAGGAGGACTTATCCAGGGTGCCTGTTCTCTAAGTGTGTGGCTGCCTTTGCTCACAGTAACCCAAATACTGGCCATTTAAGTCCACTTGTTAAGGGAGAATTCACTCTGTGCCAACGAGGAAGGACTTAAGGTCAAGTATACGCTGTTCGTTTACTTTGGAGTCTTGTCCCTGGGGGAGAAGGCACAGTCCCTTCTTCATTTCACACAGCAAAGGGGGCAGAGGGGCAAGGATAGTGCTTTTCTTCTGGGGGGTGTTCAGCTGAAACAGTGCTTGTGTTAACCCTAATGCCCCTCATAATCTCTCCTTCCTTTTCCTTCCACAAACAGACACTGGTCATATCCCTGTTCCTGGCTCTGTGCTGGGTGCTGGGGACTCACCAGGGATGAACAAGGTGGGATCGGATCACTGCTCTGTGCCCTACAGCCCAACCTTCGCTTCTCCCCTCCTGGTGAGGCAGCAGATCAGGGTGGCTGTCCTACACTTTCATCCCCATAAGACCAGGCACTAGGACCCGCTACAAAATTGGCAGTATCCAGTGCAAAACAAAAATGCAGGAGCCTTTGCTAAAATGATTATTAAGCATTTCAAGACGGCCATTACAGAGACTCAACTAAGCGTGGGGTTCTAGTGATCCACTGCGGAGCATGCCAACTGCAGTTAATAATAATGTATTATTATATTTCTAAGCGGCAAAAACAGATGTTAAATGTTCTTATCACAAAGAAATTGTCAGAATGTGAGGTGATGCCTATGTTCGTTAGCTTGATTTAATAACTCCACAATGTCTACATATGTAGCAACATCGCATTGTACCCCATAACTGTACACAGTATTATTAACAATAGAATTAAAACACAAAACGGAGCCAAACATGAGGCCCTTGTCATCTGCACAGGTGACAGACTGTGAAAGCCAGCCCTGTGGGGCACACTGTTCCTGTCTAGTGATGGGACAGAGGGAGCGGGGAGGCAGGAGGAAGTGGTAGGAAGAGAAGGGGAGGAAGCAGGCAGCTGACAGTGAAGTGGTCGGAGCCTCACATTCACAATAGCCACCCAAGAAAGGCCCCTGGCTTTCATTCTTTTTTTTTTTTGTTGTTGCTGTTGTTGAGACGGAGTCTTGCACTGTCGCCTGGGCTGGAGTGCAAAGGTGTGATCTCAGCTCACTGCAGTCTCTGCCTCCTGGGTTCAAATGATTCTGCTGCCTCAGCCTCCCAAGTAGCTGGCATTACAGGTGCCGGCCACCACGCCTGGCTATTTTTTTGAATTTTTAGTAGAGACAGGGTTTCACCATGTTGGACAGGCTGTCTTGAACTTCCGACCTTGAGATCTGGATTACAGGTGTAAGCCACCGTGCCCAGGCCCATGGATTCTTTAAGAATGAAAACCAGCTGGGTGTGGTGGCTCACGCCTGTAATCCCAGCACTTCCAGGGGCCGAGATAGACAGATACCTGCAGTGGGGAGCTGGAGACCAGCCTGGCCAACATGGAGAAACCCGTCTCTATTAAAAATAATACAAAAATTAGCCGAGCGTGGCGATGCATGCCTGTAATCCCTGTAGCTGGCCACAGGTGGTTTTTTTTTTAAAGTTAGCTACTTGCAGAATTTTATTTATTTATTTTTCACATAAATAAATTTATTTATTTATTTATTTTATTATTATTTATTTTAAAGGGAAAAAAGAAGCAACTCCTGGCTGGGTGTGGTGGCTCACGTCTGTAATCCCAGCACTTTGGGAGGCCGAGGTGGATGGATCACAAGGTCAGGAGTTTAAGACCAGCTTGGCCAACATGGTGAAACCCCGTCTCTACTAAAACACAAACAGGCTGGGTGCGGTGGCTCACACCTGTGGAGTTCAAGACCAGCCTGGCCAACATGGTGAAAACTTATCTCTAATTAAAGCAAACAAATAAATAAATTAGCTGGGCCTCGTGCCAGGTGCCTGTAATCTCAGCTACTCAGGAGGTTGAGGCAGGAGAATCGCTTGAACCCAGGAGGAGGAGGTTGCAGTGAGCCGAGATGGAGCCATTGCACTCCAGTCTGGGTGACAGAGCAAGACTCCATCTCAAAAAAAAAAAAAAAAAAGAAAAAAAAGCAATTCCTGAGTTGTTACCAACAATTTACATTAATATCAAAGAAACTGTTGATGGGCTCTACATTGTTCAGCTGTAGGTTTTGGGTTATAGAGTCCCGTGTGGCAGTATCAGGTTAATTTATAGCTACTTATGGCAATAGTAACCAGTTTCTAGACATGAATATATAGCTCAAAAAAGGGAGAGTAGGACCTGATTGCTCTCTGATTTCAGGGCCTCTCTGGGCCTGATAGTTTAAAAGGACTGGCATTCCTCTGATAAAAGGTCTTCTTTTCTCAGAAACATATTGTAACTTTGCACCCAGTTTTCAGATAAACTTTGTTGTAACTAGAGTTTCTGCTGAATGAAAGAGTCAAATGTAGCAAGTGTGGGTTCCCATTTACCTCCCTCCTTCCTGTTCCTGCCCTGTTGCCCCACCCCATTCACTGTGACCTCGTTTCCCAGCACAACTTCTGCTTGAAAAGACCAAGTTAATATCTGGTGAAGATATGTTTTTCAATGACATAGTCTTGCTTCATTCATTCTACTATAATTACATGAGAATTCCTGCTGTCCCGCTTCTGATAATGTTCTAGAATGAACATCAATAAGGAGAGGAGAGACCCTTGGAAAGCCAACACCTCCAAAACCTGTTGCTTGTGAGATTGCACAATGGCAAGAAACATTTGGACCTAGCTTTTGGCAGTACACTGTGTCCAGATTGCCTGGAGTCCAATTTATGCTACTCAGCAGTTTCACTCCCTACTGGCAAAAGAATTTAATTTTTATTGGATACCACTCAGGCTCTAGGACATACAGTGATTGCCTGACAGCAATTCATGGCCATTTGTTACTGAACATAGACAACGTTCGAGGTAAAGAGCTCAAAAGCAGAAAAGTATATTTAAAATGATAAAAGGACTGGGTCAGTATGAAGGACTGATGGCTGAGATTCCTTTTGGCTCTGACGTCTGTCCTACCTGTGCTTGCCAGATGCTGGTTTTGCAATGCTTTAGTGGTTCCTGTTTCCTCAAGAGAGCCTAAAGAAGGTGCTCAGAACAAAATTAAATTTTAATCTATGCAAATTTTCAAAGTATGAGCCTCAGTTTTCTTATTTGATTAAGAGAGGTATTCATAATATCTACCTCATGAGAATGTGATGAAGATTAAAGGTAATGGTGTGCGGAAAATGCTTTGTAAATGAAGATATTATTGTAACTCAGTTCTCCATAAGAATTGGATAGGAAATTATTACAAACTATCAGCTGAAGAATGATGAGGTTCATAAATTTGGAAGGGAGAGCTTTATTTTTCAAAAAGGGCTACAGCCTTCAGGGGGGCCATGGAAGCATAGCCTCTGGCGAGAAGCTGGAAACAGGCACTTTGAAGGTTAGAAGAGACAGGGATTTATGCTGAATGGAGTGGCAGAATATACATATACTCACCAAGCTACATCCGTGAATATTTATGAGATGGGAAACCTGCGCGTGTGCAATTGAGCCTCATGCTTCTCCATGGGTCCCATGTTCAAAAAATGGTGGCACTGAAAGTGTGATCTCGGGGTGAAGTTTTCAGGACTCTGATGTCAAAAGGTGAAGCAGAGGACAGGAAAACCCTCACTGTGCCTCTTCCGTAGTTGGCCAGAACTGCTCTGTGGTCGGTGGTCGCTTATTAGGAAGGAATGTTGTTCAGCTGTGTACAAACCGTACAAAGCGAGGGGCAGCAGCCCCACCTTTGGTTGAAGTCAGTGGTGGCATCTTTGAAAGGCCTGGTTTCTGTTTACCCCTAGGGAAGAAAATCAAATGGCAGTTAGAGAGGGAGAGGATATAACTAGGCATGTCCAGCCTCTCATCCTGTATTAGTCAGTTTTTAGGCTGTAGATAAGTACATACCCGAGACTGGGAAGATAAATAGGTTTTTATTTATTTACTTATTTATTTTGAGATGGCGTTTTGCTCTTTCATCCAGGGTGGAATGGAGTTTTGCTCTTTCATTCAGGCATGATCTTAGCTCATTGTAACCTCTGCCTCCCAGGATCAAGTGATCCTCCCACCTGAGCCTCCCAAGTAGCTGAGATTACAGGCATGTGCCACCATGCCTGGCTAATTTTTGTATTTTTAGTAGACACAGGGTTTCGCCATGTTGGCTAGGCTGGTCTCAAACTCCTGACCTCAGGTGATCCATCTGCATCGGCCTCCCAAAGTGCTGGGATTACAGGTGTGAGCCACCGCACCCAACTAGTAAGTAGGTTTAGTGAAGCTTTGCAATCATGGCAGAAGGTGAAAAGCGCTTCTTACATGGCAGGGGCAAGAGAGAATGAGAGCCAAGTGAACGGGGTTTCCGCTATAAAAGTATCAAATCTTGTGAGACTTATTCACTACCAGGAGAACGGTGTGGCGGGGAAACCGCCCCATGATTCAGTTATCTCCCGCCAGTGCCTCCCACAACACGTTGGAATTACAGGAGTACAATTCAAGATGAGACTTGGTGGGGACACAGGGCCAAGCCATATCTCACCCCATTATGGCCAGGAACTCAGTTTTGAAGGTTCTTGGCCAACAGGGAGTCTTTTCAGTCAGTCGTGGGGCTTAGACTTTTATGTTTATCTCTCAAAACAAACCCTAAATATTGTCTGGTAGCACAGAGGAACTTGTTAAAATGCAGATCCCCAGATTTCACCTCTAGATTGAGTAGTAGGCATAGAATCGTGACTGATTCTGATGAGAGGCACTTGGAAGCACTCAGCCTATTTTTGTTGAATGAAATGAAGTGGATGTGAATTGAAATTGGAAGGATGAGTGAGGCTTTGAACAGTTCTGAAGGATGACTAGAATGAGGTAGGCGAGGCATGTTCTAGACTCAGAGGCCTGCACAAACCCCTGACGATACAGAGGGTTTGAAGAACAGTGTGTGGCCTGGTGTGTCCTCATGTGCCAAGGGGCATCATGGGAGATGAGACTGCAAAGGTAATTTGGAGTCTGATCTTAGAGATCTATAATAATAAAGGTTTGGAGAATTCCAAAAGAATTCTCTCATGATGTCCTTCATAGCAGTATAATTTTCCTGAAAGATGTCTTGGAGAGACAAGAGCCTGGAGACAGGGTGGCTAGCGGGAGGCTACTGAGCAGTTGAGCAAGAGCGACAGTTGGAATAAAAGGTAGGGGACAGAGACACTGGGACGTGGTGGGGTTGCATGACCAGGGCTTGGCAGCTGAGTGGTATAGGAGGGAAGCAAGAAGAGAAGGGGGCAGGGAGGGTCACAGTCTGAGTAACTGCCCTGGGCAGAGACAAAAACATAGCAGAATTGGTCTGAATGTGTTCAGTTCTCTAGGTGATGTTCTGAAGTCTTGTGGTTTGGGGTCTGTCACTACCTCTGAACACACTCAACATGCTCTGGCGAATCAACTCTTGCTTGGACCTTTTTCTCCTGCTGTTGCCAAGACATCAGCAAGGCCCACTGAGTCCAGTGACAGCCCCTTCCTCTTAAAGGAGATTGCCAGCTACTTTCAAAGGAATGGGGGTTCTAATTTTTTGGGTACTCCTTTCTCATTTGCATCCTCATGGCAACAGGGAACACACAGCTTGCTCTTGCCTACAGCTCTGAGATTTAAGATTCGCGGGGCTGCTGGGTGGGCAGTTTTCGAAGACAGCCTTTAGTTTTCGTGTTCTTTTTCCTTCTTGGCCCAGAACAACTAGTTAAATGCAGGAAATTAAGATCAAATCATCCGAGTATTCATGCACTAAATCCCATTAGAGAGACAATCTCTAAGCCCTGATTATTTTGTTCTTAAGCTGTCTTCATGCATAAATATACAGCACTGCCAGAATCGAATGGTGTTTATTACAAGCTCATTTGAGAGTGGTGCTGATATGAAGCAGTTACATTGTCTGCTACAGAGTAGATGCTGAATTCTATATGGGAGGTGTTCCGGTTTCCATGTTTCTGACTGTTGGGAGCAGGTGGAGTAGGAGGTCATTGTTAGGTAAAAGCTCACTAAAGAGATGCTTCTTCCTGCTGACAAAAGCCAACTAAAACACTTTTCTCATTACAAGTTGAATTTAAGGCACAAATCAGAAAGTAGGCTGAGCTACTCAAAGATAAAAGATTCCCAGGATAATGTGCATTTAGTAGCAGGAACTTTGCAAAGTATATTGGAGAGGAGAAACCTCCATAGCAATATAATGAATAAAAGTAGTACTTGAAGTGCTTCTTACAGAATATGAGATTTATATCTCTGTGGGTATTTTGCCCTAGGCACTGTCAAAACAGATGCAATCAGGTTCTGATCTGTAGCAGTTTACAGTCTAAGAATAAGACAGAAGTATATACAGAGAATTGTCTTAGACTGTTCAGGCTGACATGACAAAATACCATTGACTGGGTGGCTTAAACAACAGACATTTATTTTTTCACAGCTCTGGAGGCTAGAAGTCTGAGATCAGGGTGCCAGCAGAGTTGGGTTCTGGCGAGGTCTCTCTTGGCTTGTAGACAGCTGCCTTCTTGTGTTCTCACAAGACAGTGCTGTGTCTTCACACAATGGACATTCCTCTTCTTGTTGATCAAACCCAATTTCAGTCCAGTATTGGCAGCCATATATTTCATAGGAAATGAGGTTTCCCTCCAGCCCAAGGGGGTCTTCTTCAATAATCTAAGTCAACTCAGTATATCATGTTATATGTAAAATTTTCGTTGTTGCAAAATAAGTAGCACTCAAATATACATTTCCTCTGTAGAAGGCAATTTACTTCTATAGAAGGGTGCGGGCTCACAGATGGAACAATGACAAGTGCACACCTCGACAAGGGGTACTTATTCCTGATGGAGGTCACTCCTACTGCTGTGTTGGTCCTCTATTGGCTAGGGTTAGACCGCACAGTCTAGTCAAATTCTGATTGGGACCAGAGGTACGAGCCAGAGTGGCGGGGTGGGTAGTTTGGTGGGAAGGATGGTTACGGGCAGGTCAGAGCAGGTAGCTGGGGTCAAAGCAGGTGATCAGAGCAGGTGACTGAAGCAGGTGACTGGAACAGATGACCAGAGCAGGTGACTGGAGCAGGTGACCAGAGCAGGTGACCAGAGCAGGTGACCACAGCAGGTGACCACGGCAGGTGACTGGGATGAGATAGGACAGGGCAGGGGACTGGGGAACAGATGTGAACCACTGATTAGAACTGGTGGAAAAGGTTGTTTACTAAAACTACAAGGAAGTTAAACTTTAAAATAGAGAATTAAAGAATAAGAGAGCTGAGCATACTGACACACTGATTCTTTGAAGAGAAACTTGGAGTTCACTATATCTAACAATCACATGTGACTATTTCATAACTCCTGTTCTGAGTACTGCCTCGTCCCCACACCATTCTCAAATGAACTTGTAATAAACATCATTTGATTCTGGCAATGCTATAGATTTAGGAATATGAAGAAGCCATCCAGTGACTGCTTTTGGTGTAGGTTGGAATTATGGGTTGAATTGTCTCTCCTACAAAAACATGCTGAAATCCTAACCTTTGGCACCGGTGAATGTGATATTTGGAAACAGGATAGTTGCAAGTGTACTTAAGTTGAGATGAGGTCACTAGAGTGGGCCCTAATCCAACATGACTGGTGTCCTCCTAAGAAGAGGAAAATGCCATGTGAAGATGCAGACACAGGGACAATGCTACGTGATCATGGAGGCAGAGATTGGAATGCTGCACCTACAAGCCAAGGAATGCCAAGGGTTGCCAGCAGCCATCAGAAGCTGGGAGAAAGCTACGGAACAGAGCCTCCCCTAGAGTCTTCAGAGACAGCATGTCTTTGCTGACACCTGGATTTGGCCTTCTGGCCTCCAGAACTGTGAGAGCATAAATATCTCTTGTTGAGGCCACCCAGTTTGTGCTATTTTGTCATGGCCACCCCAGAAAAAGAATAAAAAAAGAGCTGATTAATGACACAAGAAGAGAAACAGCTGGGAACTTCTGGAAACATTTCCTCCCATTCCCTTTTAGAAAGGGCATCATGATGGGGCATTTCTTCTGCTGTTTTTGTCCATCATGATTTTGGTGCATGGAGTGGCTGCAGCCATCTCAAAACTGCAAGGGGACAAGGCTGAGGACAAACGTCAACATTCAGGGCCCTGGTAGAACTGAAGGTACAGGATCATGATGATGCCATTGAGCCGTCAAATTATCCTGGAGTCACTGGATTTTCTATTGTGTGAGATAATAAATTGGCTCTTTCCTTGTACCACTTTCAGTTAGGTTTTCTGTTATCTGCCTACAAAACGTCTTTGATACATCAAGGGTTAGTGGTGTCTAGAGGAAATCACTGAGGTCAGGAAATCTTTTGTCTTCTACCAGCTGCTGACCATGGTCATCAATCCCAATAAGTCCTATGCAGAGAAGATGCTTTCTGAAAATGCACACCCTTTATTACTAGCCAGTCCCAAATTCCTTTAAAAGCTTCTTACCTGGTGAAGTAGCTGGGTCCCATACAAGCCTTGCGGTCTTACTGGGCTTTGTACATGTTATCCAACCGAGAAACACTCTCCCCCACTACAGTCTCCTCCACCTAGCTACTCTCTGCCCACCCTCTAGGTTTCAGCTTCAATACCATTGCCTTGAGAAGTCTCTACTGATTCCCAAGTCAGCCCCTCTAATGGCTTTCCGGGTACCTTGGACTTGCTGTGTCTTAGCATGTGCTACATTGTACTGTAATTGCCTGTTTACTGTTGCTGTCTCCCACTAGACTCTTGAGGGCAGATATTCTGAACGTCCCGTTTACTGTTGCATGCTCAGTCTAATACAAAGCCTGACTCACAGTAGGCACTTGATATATGTGTGTACAGGTAATAAAATAAAAAGACATGGCAGTGTCAACAGTCTGTAATTTAGAATTAATCTATATTTGGTCTAGGGCCATGAAAAAATGGGAGCTGGGCTGGGAGCAGTGGCACTTGTTTGTAGTCCCAGTGCTTGGGAGGCTGAGGTGGAAGGATCCCTTGAACCCAAGAGTTCTGTGCCACCCAGACTGACGAATCTGCACTGTTTGGCATCAATATGCTACCCTCCCAAAGAACAGGGAACCACCAGGTTGCCTAAGGAAGGGTGAACTGGCCCAGGTCAGAGATGGAGCAGATCAAAACGCTCATGCAGATCACTAGTGGGATTGTGCCTGTGAATAGTTGCAGCCCTCCAGCCTGGGCAACGCAGTGAGACCCTGTCTCTAAGAAACAAAGAGAAAAGAAAAAGGAAAGGGAGTTAGGCAGGGCTTTGACAAAACACAAAAGCAAGCCAGACAATCTTTGACCCCGGCCTTGGGCTCCTAAACTGGGATTCTTCCACACTTACTCCCTTTTATTTTCCTCCCTTTTACTTCTCTTTTCAGTTCTCCTGAACGTTCTCTAGGTCTGGGCCTTAATGGGTACTTACCAGTTAAAAAAAAGAAATGATAATGGGTTACATAGGAGTGGCCAATGTGTCTATTACTTCTAGGGAAAAAACACAATGTTTTAAGTACCTGTAAAGACAATATGTTTCTAGAAAGCCCCTAAAAAATTAGTACCAAGAATTTACAATCCGGCAGGAAGCAGGAAGCAAGTGTCAAGTGAGACTCTGAGTACCTTTATAATAGAGTAGGCGGTTTTTGCCTTCTTTGGGTTCAGTAAGAACTTTTGGGCGATTATCCCATCTTTGATACTTGAAAACATTTTCCAGGAGTGTTCTTCATGTGGTTTACTCTAAGGTCAGTCTAAGGTCATTCATTCCTTTTAAGGCTGGCCAAGCATTTGTTTTGCAGATTTTTCTTCTTAGAAGAATTTAGGCAGTGTTAAGTATAATAATTCCAACTAATTTTTTTTCTATATGAGGAAGGTTAGTCATTCCACAAACATTTGGGCACTTCCACATATACACCAAATACCGTGCTAAGCACCTGCTGCTCTTACCCAGTGCCACAGTCCACCACGCAGGGAGGCAGGAACAGACTCAAGCCCTATCCTACAAGATTTTATAGTTCAGTAGGGGAGATAGACTACAAATACATAAATATAAAAATATAATACTTTGCTTTAAGGGTTAGGAATGAAGCCAACAGATTGTTGAGACAGAGGATAAAGTACCGGTAGGGAACCTAGTCAGCGTGATCAGGAACAACTTCCCTCTCAAGGTGACATTTAAGTCAAGACTTAAAGGATGAGAAAGGCGCCAAGCATCGGAAATGGGGTTACGTTCATGTAACTCAAAAATAAACCCCAATCTCTCCAACAGCAAGGTTGGACGTGTGGGGGCCAAGAAGCCTAACTGCCAGCACTAAAGATGGCGCGCCAGGGGGCGGGGCGTATGCGCTTCTTGATTGGCCGACCGGGGAGTGACGTCACGTGCTGGCCGCCGAGCATCCGGGCTCCTGGCGGCGGCGCTGCGGAGGCTCGCGGGAGACGCGGCGCGCGGGGCGAGCGGGCGGCCGAGCGGACAGCGGCTGGGCGCTCTCGGGCGGCCGGCGGGGCCGAGCGCCGCGCGTCCCGAGCATGGCGGGCTCCCTGCCTCCCTGCGTGGTGGACTGTGGCACCGGGTAAGAGCCGCTCGGCGCCCACCCCCGCTCCTCCGCGGCCCCGCTCCGGGCGCCCGGCGTCCACCTCACCTGGAGGTCGACCTGCGTTGTCGCCCCGGGCTTGACCCGGCGACCACCTGGGCAGGTGGGGCGCCGGCCGCGGCTTCCCTCCCAGCTTTGCCTTGACGTCGCAAAACCCCTTGTTCTCCGCCGGGAAGGGCCACGAGAGGAGAAGCACGGAGGGGAGGGACGCGATGCCCACTCTGAGGGAGCCCGGCGCTCCTCGCTTCCCCCCCACGTGCCCGGGTCCCTGGACCCGCAGCCCGGCTCCGGCCGCCGCCGGGGTGGCCACCCTGAGGGGCGCGGGGAGCGCCGGACCTCTTGGGAATATTCGCCCCCGTGAGGCACACGCTGCAGATCCTTTAACGTCACTCACCTGCTAGCGAACGGTGTCCCTGCCTTCCAGCGTTCTCAGCGCTGGCCCTCGTTCTGTGCCCGCATGTGTGTGTCATTCCCCCTGGCTGATGGTTCTTTACCACCTACGTGTGGAGAGAATTGCATCCATCTCCCAACTTGACACCTTTTTTACTGCCCTCTCTGCTCGTTTCCAGTATGAAATGGCACACTCAGAACAAGCTGTCGCTTTGGTTTGCATAGAGTTGCCTTTTCGCCTAAAAATGATGTGTTTAAAAAGACTCCATTTTGAAAAACACCCTAAATTTGGGAAAGCATGTTTGTGGAATTGGGGTAGAGGTTTTTAACTTTTTGAATGTGACCTCTTCTTTCGATGCCGTTAAGATGTTGAAGAGAGACCTTAGGAAATGGCCTGAAATATCAGTGGCACAAGTTAGCTGGTTATAGTAAGGTGATCGCCGAATCCATTTAGCTGGTAGTTTGGGGATACAAGCTTGCCTGCTTGCATTTTGGATGTAGTGCTTAGTAAAATAGCCTGGAAGTAAATTTGGTCTCTTACAGGTTTTTTTTTTTCAAGAAGGGATTTTAATCGTTTTTGCCACAAAATGTTCCATGGCATGTTCACCTTACCCTTGATTCTTTTCTACAGAAAAATGCACTTGGTTTGGTTTCCTTGACAACCTTGTGGGGGTGCTTTCTTTAATTTGCTACAGTCCATCTCCTACTGATAGTTCTTTCCTTTTGCTGCCGAAGCGACCAGAATTGGTTGCAGGCTGGAAAAATCTGCCTCTTTGCTTGTGTGAATTCTTTTAAAAATCACATCGTGTCAAGCTCTATAGCTCTTTATTTTAGAACTTGCTTTTCTAACCTAAAAAGCCAAAATCAGCGTTGTTGATATAACTTCCCTCTCCCAGTTATTGGCTCCCCTAATTCATGCTCTCCCCCTATGGGTTCACCCCATGTCTCCTCAGATCTAGTTGTGCCAAGGGTGAAACCAGCATGTGAAAATATTTTTCATTTCCACATTCGCATGTGAGATTTTTGCTTTGTGTTATTGGTCTTGCAGAGCGATTGAAATATAAAGGATTTCTTGGTAGAAGAAATAAAATAATGCTCACAGAGTTGCCATGCTTTTAATATTAGTTAAATCATGGACCTTACTCATCATTCTTGCTATAAATACCCAAAATGTCGTGCTCAGTTTTGACCTTTTGAGGTAAGTGATTGATGTAACTTGGCTAACTTGGAGAGTCAACGTCTATAGATCATTATTTTGTGGCCCAAAGTTGCACTTCAGATGTTGGTGTTAAAATTTAGAAACAGTGGCAGGGAATCCTCGTATGAATTCCCCATATCCAGTGTATGGCCAGAAGGAGCCTGAAAGAGCCGGAAGTTACCAACTTGAGCACATCAGTAGTTCTTATGTTTCCCAGAGAGCTAAAATGATTTTTGGATTGAGTTTTGCCTCCAAATAGGACAAAAAGTGGTAAAATTCAGATAAAAATAACCAAGCCAAAGGAAAAGAACGAACCTGGAAAGTCACCCTACATTCGACCTTAGTCTTTCTGACAGCATCATAGTTATGTAATTCCTGTCATCAGAAATCATGAGAAATACCTGTTTCTTGGGTGAAAAAAGCCTTTTTTGCAGTAATGAATTGTAAAAGAAACATTAATCATCATGGGCACTAATGATTTATTGGACAGCATGATAAACAGTATTTTTTACAAATAAATTTCATCCCATTATCTTTGAATTCTCCTCTGGTAAACCCCAGAACAAACTGAGTGAGCACTGGTGTGCTGGGGGCCAGGATAATATGGACAGAGGGATCTGCTGGATCCAAAAATAAAGCTTCGTCTATTTAAAGGGATGACTAGGCTGTGAGTTTTGAGAGAGTATTTCACAACTCCAGTCTCACTTCTCTGAGCCAGACTTTTTAAATGAAGGCTTTTGCATTTTTCAACTTTTTTTTGAAATAATTTCAAATCTACTGAAAGCTGGAAGAGAACAAAAAACTACTATGTACTCTTCTTCCAGTTTTACCAACTGTTAACATTTGCTTTGTCACTCTATGTCCGTACATATTATTACTTGCCTGTACTGTTTGAGAGTAAGTTGCAGACATCATATCCTTTTATACCGAAATACTTCAATGTGTACTTTCTGAGGACACATTTTCTCTTCTAGAATCACATGCCAATCATCAAAATCAGTATATATATGTTAACTATATACAGTAGTATCCTATATACAGTACAGATTCATGTGAATGGTCCCATTTATGTCTTTTATGGAATATCACCCATGAAAGACCTCTCCCATTGAACATCACATGTTGTGTCTGGTGGTTATCGTGTCTTTTTTTTTTTTTTTTGAGACGGAGTTTCGCTCTTTTTACCCAGGCTGGAGTGCAATGGCGCGATCTCGGCTCACCGCAACCTCCATCTCCTGGGTTCAAGCAATTCTCCTGCCTCAGCCTTCCGAGTAGCTGGGACTACAGGCGTGCGCCACCATGCCCAGCTAATTTTTGTATTTTTAGTAGAGACGGGGTTTCACCGTGTTGACCAGGATGGTCTCGATCTCTTGACCTCGTGATCCACCCGCCTCGGCCTCCCAAAGTGCTGGGATTACAGGCTTGAGCCACCGCCCCCGGCCTATCGTGTCTTTTAAGTCTCATCTAATATGGAGTAATTCCTTAACCTTTTTTTTTTGTCTTTCAAGATGTTGACATTTTTGACAGCCAGTTGTTACCTGGTGTTTCCCTGTGATAGATATAGGATATGTGTATTTGTCAGGACTACCACAGAAGTCCTCTTGATCCTTCTTAGTGCATCCCATCAAAAGGCAAAGGATAGGGACTTGCCTTGTTCTTGATGAAGTTCACTTGGATCATTTGGATGTCCACAAAGTTTCTTCATCGTTCAGTTACTGTTTTCCTTTGTAATTAATAAGGTTTCTTCACTGTTCAGTTACTGTTTTCCTTTGTAATTAATTCTCCCATTTGTGGGGAAATAGTTTATATACATACTCTGTTCTTTTTTTTTTTTTTGACTCTGTTGCCAAGGCTGGAGTGTAGTGGCATGATTTTGGCTCACTGCAACCTCCACCTCCCGGGTTCAAGCGATTCTCCTGCCTCAACCTCCCAAGTTGCTGAACTACAGGCATGTACCACCATGCCTGGCTGTTTTTTTTGTATTTTTAGTAGATATGGGGTTTCACCGTCTTAGGCAGAATGGTCTCAATCTCTTGACCTCGTGAACCATCCACCTTGGTCTCCCAAAGTGCTGTGATTACAGGTGTGAGCCACTGTGCCCGGCCCATTGGTGATTGGTGCCTGAATTGCTTATTATGGTGATGGTTGCAAAATGGGTGATTTTTAAACTCTAGTATTCTGTCTCCATTTATTAGTTAACATTTTATCCTAAGGGAGAACTTTTCCTAGCCCTCATTTGTTTATTGTCTGTATGAGCTGGCATTCTGTTCAAAGAGTTACCCATTATGCCGTCCCTATTGTTGTCAGTGGGTTAGTGTCTGTTGTCGCCACGATTTGTTTTGATGCTTAAATTGTCTCAGATTTGGCCGAGTGAAGCTCGTTCTGGCTGGCTCCCATGTTCTATATTTTTTATTTATTTAGTTTTTGAGATGGAGTCTTACTCTGTCGCACAGGCTGTAGTGCAGTGGTGTGATCTTGGCTCACTGCAACCTCCGCTTTCCAGGTTCAAGTGAATTCTCCTGCCTCAGCTTCCTGAGTAGCTGGGATTACAGAGGGCATACCACCACGCCTAGCTGTTTTTTTTGTATTTTTAGTAGAGATGAGGTTTTGCCATGTTGGCCAGGCTGTTCTTGACCTCCTTACCTCAGGTGATCCACCCACTTTGGCCCCTAAAGTGTTGAGATTACAGGCATGAGCCACTGCACCTGGCCTTCCATGTTCTTTAGACATGTCTTCATTTTTTGAGCATTCTGCTGTTAGCAAAAGAATGCAAGGATATCTTTTTGTATTTTTTGCCTGAGTATCTGTGGGTTAGATTTTTAGAAATGGGATTTCTGGCCGGGCGCGGTGGCTCAAGCCTGTAATCCCAGCACTGTGGGAGGCCGAGGCGGGTGGATCACGAGGTCAAGAGATCGAGACCATCCTGGTCAACATGGTGAAACCCCGTCTCTACTAAAAATACAAAAAATTAGCTGGGCATGGTGGCGCGTGCCTGTAGTCCCAGCTGCTCAGGAGGCTGAGGCAGGAGAATTGCCTGAACCCAGGAGGCGGAGGTTGCGGTGAGCCGAGATCGTGCCATTGCACTCCAGCCTGGGTAACAAGAGCGAAACTCCGTCTCAAAAAAAAAAAAAAAAAAAAAAAAAAAGAAAGAAATGGGATTTCTGGGTTAGAGGACAAATGCATATGTAATTTTGCTAGGCAATGTCAAATTCCACTCGTTAGTGTGCATTCTCACCAGTAATGTGTGAGGATACTTGTGTCTTACAGACTCACCAATAGAGCTTATTGCCATTTTGTAAATTTACCAACCTAGAAGAAATGATAACTTAGTAGCTTTGTTTTGTGTTGCTGTACCAGAATACCACACAGTAGATAATTTATTTATTTATTTATTTATTTTTTGGAGACGGAGTTTCGCTCTTGTTACCCAGGCTGGAGTGCAATGGCGCGATCTCGGCTTACCGCAACCTCCACCTCCTGGGTTCAAGCAATTCTCCTGCCTCAGCCTCCTGAGTAGCTGGGACTACAGGCACACGCCACCATACCCAGCTAATTTTTTGTATTTTTAGTAGAGACGGGGTTTCACCGTGTTGACCAGGATGGTCTTGATCTCTTGACCTCGTGATCCACCTGTCTCGGCCTCCCAAAGTGCTGGGATTACAAGTGTGAGCAACCGCGCCCGGCAGATAATTTATTTTATTATTATTATTACTGTTGTCTTTTGAGATGGAGTCTCACCCACTGGCCCAGCCTGGAGTGCAGTGGTGTGATCTCAGCTCACTGCAACCTCTGCCTCCCAGGTTCAAGTGATTCTCCTGTCTCAGTCTCCGCTTCCCCTCATCCCCCAGTAACTGGGATTGCAGATATGAGCCACCACGCCTGGCTAACTTTTGTATTTTTGTAGAGACAGGGTTTCACCATGTTGACCAGGCTGGTCTCGAACTCCTGGACCTCAGGTGATCCTC